ATCGAATTATTTTATGCATTCGTATTTCATTTTACCTATGTTCGATATCTGTGGAGAATTGCACTCAACAAATCGCACACTCAAATCCAACTCAAAGCCATCTCATATGCGTTATTATAAACGGAAGTGATGTTTCTGCATTTCGGAGTTAAGCAACGGGATAGTCAATGGTCAGAGAAAGGGGCGGTGGTAAATCGTCTAATAATCTTACCCTGTGGTTGTTGATCGAATATTTCTATCTTCTGGACTCTACATTTTCATCAGCAGCATAGTGATGGAAACTGGAGATTTCGAAATATAGTACTTTTGAGGGTTAAAAGTATTATTTTTCCTGATATTTTTATCTATTGACTAGTTTACAAATTAGTCCATTAACTTAAATATTCTATGGACTAGTCTATCGGCTTATCTATTGACTCATCTATCGACATATCTAGTCTATTTACTACTATATGGACTAGTCTATTGATCAGCCTATTGACTAGACTATGGACTAGTCTGTTTACTATTATATCTTACTATTTTAACGGCTAGTCTATTTAACTAATATATGTATGTACTAGTTTATCATGTAGTCAATGGACTAGCCTTTTTGTCCCATGACGGGGACAAATCTTAACGAAATTGTTTATTGGGATGGGAAAACACGTGCGTAAGTTAATAAACACATACATATTTATGAATATTATTAAACTTATCCTTTATTAAAAAGGAAGGAATTTTAAAACTGCTTTAGTTTTCTCAATAAAAAATATTTTAAGGACAGTACTAATAAACATACAATCAGACAAACAATTAATTTAATTTATTTACAATAATATAGAAATTTGAATGATAAATATCCGTTTGTTGTTATTGTTTATAAATTTTATTTCAAAATAAATATTACTATGTATGAAAATAAAATAAAGAACAAGAGGAAATGTTGGCAAATAATTTTTAATTAATGTGAGTTTATTTGCTTTTCAGAAGTAATATTTTAAAAATAAATCTTTGTACTTTGAAACTTTCATTAAAATATTCTATTTTTAAATAAATTATATTTTATTAGAATCTATTAAAATCAACTTATTAAATAGAATTTATTAAAAAAAGAAATAGTTGAATGTCCAGAATTTCTACTTTTACCTAATGTTCCTCTTTTAAGGTAAATAATATACTTCATATTCATAATAAATACCACTTATGATGACGGTTTTTAAAAATGTTTATATAATGTATATATTTATAAAATTATAATCAATATCATCATAAAATTATAGATATCCATCTATCTACTCATTCATACATAAATGTTTAATTTCATATATTGATACACGTGTTTTAAGTTGTACTTTTTTTTATTCAACGACCCTTTAAACGACCTTGTGTTTTTTCATATTTGATATGAAATTTGATTGATATGTCAGTGAAATGATTTATAAAAAAATACCACAGCACGTATTTTGTTAACAAAATTATTTTATAATGTTCCAACAATAATTGTGATAATTTTCTCAACCTTGTGAATTGTGCAATTGTCTACTTTCAAGAAAATTAATATTTTATTAATATTTTTATGACAATAAACGAATTTTTAGTAAGTAAAATCAGCAGCTGAATTTTTCGTTAGGGTTAAATTGATTGGAGGATCATCAAATCCTAAGAAATATACAAAATCTCAAAAGAATTTCATAAAAAAATTTAACAATTTGTTGACAAAAATGAGATTTTCTAAAAGAGGAGTTATATGGGGCAGGGGCTTAATACGGGGCTATTCTTATTAATATTGATAGAGAGATTTATGTCTATATTAAAATTATGTATATGGAATTTCATTGTGTTATTAGTATTTATAAGTGAATTTTGACCCTCAAGTCATTTTCTAAAAGGGCCTTTGTATGGCGGCTAGGGTCAAATGAATCCTGATCATTACGAAAATTGGCAGTATAATTTAGACTTTTGTATTTAAACTAATTTTTGCCGATTTTTTGCAGAGCTACAAGAACATTAAACATATTTATGAGTTTAAAATCTCCATTCGGAAGGAACGGTTGTTTGGGCCTAGGCGAAATAATGGACCGATTTTAAGCATTTTCATTAGGCTTGGTCCTTGGGTCAATCGAAAAGCATGTGCTAGATTACATGGACAAACGGACGGAAAAAGAAAGTGAATCTGAGCTGATTGGTATGCTTTAAGGTGGATGTAGAATCAATAGATTTTCGGTATTTTTTAGTTCTTCAACTCAAGCAGACATAACTATAGGATCCTAATGGAATGAAACTTTATAGCACTAAACATTGTGGTACTTTTTTGTACTTCAGCTAGTATTTTTTGAATTTTTTTAATATTACACCTAGAAACATAGAATTAAACACGAAGAGTCCTGGTTGATTGAAATCAGTTGGAAAACTTTTTCGTTTTTTTTTTAACACTATGGTGAAAGTGTTGTTGTTTATTTCAATTTTGACAATTCATTGATTTGTTATATTGTTTTCATTCTAAATTAACCTAATTTTTAGTTTAACATTGTTATTGGCAAAAAATATTTTACATTTAATTTTAATTCAACAGAATATATTGACAGGTGGTTGATACAAAATAAATGAATATTTGATAAATGTTTAAACAAACCAATATATTAGACAAGAAAAAAACACCAAAAGATTTTACTATCAATAAAAAAATTGGCTAAACATCATCATACAATTGCTGAGGTTAAAGACCTTTAAAAATAATGTAGATTAGAATCCTAAAAGAAAATTTGTCAGGACTAAAATCAAAATGTATTTAATTTTGAAATTAAAGTTTAAAATTGTAAGATTTTTTGTCAAATAGTGTAAAGAAATGCATTGAAAGATTGTTTATAAACCTATAATAAAGAATATACATTCTGGATCTGTCCGTTTAAAACATGATTAGGCCTAAAAGAGCAGAGCTTTCAGGATGACATCTTTCCAAAGTCAATAGAACTTCGACATGATCTAAACAAAGGATTTTATTTGTATTTAAAAATAAAATCAAAATTTTACTTTCAACCTAAATATGTTTTGAATATTTTAAAAACTTTGAAGAAAAACTATAGAACACATGACTACTTCTTTAACTAAACATACAAAACTAAATTTATAGTAAAATAAAATTATTGAAATTCCATTAAATAAAGATTTAGTTTTTATTAAATAAAATTATAGACAATAAACGATGTATTTGTATTTATAGCCCACATCCAAACATATGCACATGTCTAACGCCCCACAGTGGGGCAGAATGGAAATTTTTTGGAAATAAATCTGGCATTTCTAAACGGCTGATCGGATAAAATTTGGCGTGAGCGTAGCCAAGGAGTATTCGAGTTTAAGTTTTGAAGATGAACCCTGCAGATGCCCCAGGGACGGCGCTGTGGCGGCTCAAAGTAGGGTACCTACGACATGTAAAATTTTTAAACTCGTGCCATTTTTTTGTTTTTCACCCAAATACAAAGTTATAAATTTTTGAAAATTTAAGCATAAGCATTATAAGGATAAGCAAACAAATAGAAAATAGGTAAATATAAGATTTAAATATGTGCTGTCATACTTAATACTAAAATATGAAAAAGATGAAATTAAAGGACACAGGTTTAAATGAACATATTTTTGAATGTAATTGAGATATTGGCTTGAAATTTTTTGTAAAGGGTCGAGAATTTCCATATCTAACTAAAAAATGATATTAAGGGATACATATGGACTAAATTGTTGTAGCTATCTGCGATCCTATTAAAATTTTGATATAAATCATAGTTTTAGAAATTAAACAAATATGTAATATATGACAAAATCTTTATTTATGAACAAAACTCAATGAAATTTTCAACGCTTGTTAAATTTGTCATTTCAAATAAGAATATGCAAAAAAAAATTGAAAAGGTCAAAGGGCATCCCGCAATTCCCAAAAATAGGAATGAAAATCCCAAAAATGGGATTTTTTACTTTTTTGCCCATAGGGTCCACATTTCTTTCAGGGCTGGGAAAATACTTTTGGAGTAAATAGAAAACATATTGAGGTTTCCAAAACTGCTTTCAGTTTTCTGATCCCAGCTTTGGGATTTTAGAACATGTCGCCCAAAGTTGAAGTTTTGATAAAAAATAGGTCATATTCGGAAGGACGCAGTGGCAACATTTTCAAAAAATAGGACAAGTTTTTTACGCCAAAGCATTCTGCGTAAAGATACCTTTTAGAAAACTATAAAATTGTTATATGTTCTTAATAAAATTTTATTTTATTAATAAAAGAGTTAAGACACATTTTTGGCAAAAAAACGCCAAAAATCTAAAATTTTTTGAATTTTTAAATTAAAAAACGTATATTTTTGGATCTGTAAACAATATTGATCTGAAATTTTTGTATATTATTGGAAATTTTGTTGTCTAACTAACAAGAAAAAATTGAGTCCATTTGGTCCAAAATTACGCCCGGTATTCAAAAAAAGGCGGACCAAGGTATGGTAAATTTTGTATCACTAAATTTTTAAATGCCTATAACTCGGATATTATAAGAGATAAGTAGTATGTCCAAGCATGTTTTTTCAAGATCTCGTCGAGCGCTTTCTCAAAATATAAAAATCTTTGTATTTGGGTGAAAAACAAAAAAATGGCACGAGTTTAAAAATTTTACATGTCGTAGGTACCCTACTTTGAGCCGCCACAGCGCCGTCCCTGGGGCATCTGCAGGGTTCATCTTCAAAACTTAAACTCAAATACTCCTTGGCTACGCTCACGCCAAATTTTATCCCGATCGGATCAGCCGTTTAGAAATGCCAGATTTATTTCCAAAAAATTTCCATTCTGCCCCACTGTGCGCCCCCCAAAATAGCCAAAGAACAAACAAAACAAAAAAATTGGAAAAACCAATTAAATAAGTAACAATATAAAAATAAAATTGCATACAATAATAAATAATGAATAATCATAAAAAATACTAAATAATTGTTATTGATGTTGTTTGTTTTTCTTATTTTTCTTTGTATTTTGAACAGGAATTGGTGGCCATTTCCCCTGAAAGGCGTAATTGGCGTGGTATTTTTATAGCATTACTGGTCATAGCAGCCGTATTTAGTTTAATAATATTTTCCATATTTTTATTATCGCCAGGTAAGTTAAGGAAAATTCTTCTTGTTAATATTTCACATTAATTATTTGTTTTTTATTCTTTTTTACAAATAATAAATTTTGTTTTAATTTTATTTTATTTTATTTATTACTCTTATTTTCGGAAAATTAATTAGAGGATGAGGGACTACGCATACGGGGCAGCAGATTAACATTAAGTGATATTTTAGGTAAACGCTTTCAATGGAAACCATTCAATGGCACTTGGCACAGTGGTATGTATTTTGGAATAAAAAATCAAGTTTTGGGAAAAATTCTCATCATGCCATCTTATAAACTCTATTTTCAGACACTGAATTAGTATTTCGTGATCCCAGTGGTGGTTTATCAATAGTAAATTTAGATAATTATACAACACGAGTTTTAATGACCAATTCAACATTTGTAAGTTGATTTTAAATTAAAATTAAAATTCATTAAAATTAAGACAAGCATTTAAGTTTTAAAAAATCCAAATTGTTGAAATAAAAGTCCGAAATATTTGAAAAATTTTCTCGAAATGTTCGGGAGATTTTGAACTTTACTAGTAATTTTCGAATTTAATTTCTAAAAAAGTAACGAAGCAAGTTGAAAATATTTTCAAAATGTTCTATAAATGTTTACAAAAAATAAAATGTATTTAAATTTTATTTCTTTCAGCGCCAACTGAATGCTGAAACATATTTAGTAGCACCAGATCTTAAATATGTCTTACTGCAGTCCGATAGTAATGCGGAGGGATCAAGGTAAGAAAAACAAAACCAAAAACAAATAAAATCTAAATTCAAATGAAAATAAATAAATGATAAATGTTTAATGAATTTCGAATTTCATTACAAAAGAAATAAAAAGAAAATCTAAAGCAAAAACAAAAACAACAAACAAAATTAAAAGTGTTCTGTTTTTGTTTTTTGCTACATTTTGATAAATATTTAAAATAGCTTTTAAATAATATTATTTACTTAGTGTTAAAATTAAGTAAATATTTAAAAATGAGTATATCAAACGGAAATAATTTAAATGCACTAAAAACACTAAACAGGCCACTTAATTTGTTTATTTCAATATTATTCAAAAACATTTAAAAAGAAAATATTAAACGAAATTTATTAAATATGAATTTAAAAACATCTAACAAAAAAACTAAATTTTTGTTTTACCACAGACATCATGTCTATGAGGTGCAAACAGCAAATACATTTCCTTTGGGACCAACGGAAAATATAGCAGAAGCACCACGCCTGCAATTTGTTTTATGGGCTCCCTACAACAACCATTTAATACCTAGTAGTATTGGTGGCAATGCAAATAATGGTGGTGTCAACACAAATTCCATTTCTTCTTCCTCATCAGCGACAAACACACCCACAACTCCCATACCCACACCCACTAATGGTAGTCCGCTGTTGAATAGTCTCGGTAGTGGTGCCAGTATGGCAAATTTAGTTAAACCTCCACCACCCATTCAACTGCAACAACAGAATCAAGATGCCTCAACGTCAGTACTAAGCAATGGTTTGACTAAAGCTCTGGCCCAAAATCAAGCCATTGCTTTTGTCCACGAAAATGATATCTACTATAAACCTAAAGTTCAGGGAGAACTTGTGTGTCGTATTACAACAACAGGTGAGTGTTTACACAAAATTTTGATTATTTTTAGGAACATATAAATCGAAACCATAAGAATCTGGGACGGAATTACTGTATAAATAGACACGTGATCAAATAAGCGTTCGCAACGAAAACACATTTCGATACCAGTATTAACCTAAAATGTATTCAAAATTATTGGCTGATAAAGTACCAGTCATAGAACGAAATAGTACCAAAAATCCTTTCCTGGAGATTTTCACTAATTTAGGACTCTTAATGCTTAATTTTATGTTTCTAGGTTCATGAAGAAGGAAAAAGCTCTAAAAAGTCCACTTTTATATGTTTTCTTTCACTAAATTTCATGTTTATGTGAGCAATGTGTTAGAAAATTCCAAAAGGTACCTTTTTTTCTCACTTAATCCGGGCTCTACATACATAATTTCATGTTTCTAGGTTTAATATTATAGAAAATTCACAAAGTGCCTTCTGTAGAACGAAAAAGTACCAAAAAGTCCACTTTTATCTGTTCCCACTTAATCCGGGTTCTACATACTTAATTTCATGTTTCTAGTTTCAATATTATAGAAAATTCAAAAAGTACCTTTTGTAGAACGAAAAACTCCGCTTTTATGGTGTTCTCATGTTTCTAGCCAATAACAACACACTGCTTCATTCGTAATTATTGTTCTTTCTTTGCTTTGTTGTTTTTTGTTGCTTGTTTACTGTTTCTGTCTGTGCATGAACGAAAAATCTAAATTTTTGATAAAATTTTCAGAGGTAATCTCAGACTTTTGCTCATATCTTCCTTATTTATGGACCGAATTTGCTGATTTTAAATTGTCTTCTATTCGATCGTATGTCTGATAGAATTATTGAAGATTCGGATCTCGCAGATGTCTGGGTTCTTCTGAAAACTGATTTCAACATACACACGGACAGACGGTCAGACGGGCATGGATAAATCTAAAACTTCGTTAAAACACGTTGTGAACACTTATATTTTCCCTCAAAACTCAATATTTTGGTAGAAAACCTTGAAGAAACTAAAACTTATAACTTCGTTAAAACATGTTTAAATTGAAAAATAATCTTATTTTGTGATTAATTATATTCTCCTTCAAAAATCGAAACTAAAATCGCTTAGCATTAGCTTATTTTGTGATCGCTTATATTTTAGTCGGAAACACTGATAAAAATAAAATCGCTTATAACTTCGTTAAAACACGTTTAAACTGAAAAATAAGCTTATTTTGTGATCACTTATATTTCCCTTCACAAATCGACATTTTCGATAAAATAAGCTTATTTTGTGATCACTTATATTTCCCTTCAAAAATCGATATTTTGGTCGGAAATCCTTATAACTTCGTTAAAACACACTTAAATTGAAAAATAAGATTATTTTGTGATCACTTATATTTCCCTTCAAAAATCGATATTATGGTCGAAAACCTTATAAAACTAAAATCGCTTATAACTTCGTTAAAACACGTTTAGATTTGAAAATAGGCTTATTTTGTCATCACTTATATTTCCCTTCAAAAATCGATATTTTGGTCGAAAACCTTGAAGAAGCTAAAATCGCTTATAACTTCGTTAAAACACGTTTAAATTGAAAAACAAGCTTATTTTGTGATCACTTACATATCCCTTCATAAATCGATAATTTGGTCGAAAACATTGAAGAAACTAAAATCGCTTATAACTTCATTAAAACACGTTTAAATTGAAAAATAAGCTTATTTTTGATCACTTATATTTCCCTTCATAAGTCGATAATTTGGTCGAAAACCTTGAAGAAGCTAAAATCGCTTATAACTTCGTTAAAACACCTTTAAATTGAAAAACAAGCTTATTTTGTGATCACTCATATTTTACTTCAAAAATCGATATTTTGGTCGGAAATACTCATAAAACTAAAATCGCTTATAACTTCGTTAAAACACGTTTAAATTGGAAAATAAGCTTATTTTGTGATCACTTATATTTCCCTTCATAAATCGATATTTTGGTCGAAAACCTTGAAGAAACTAAAATCGCTTATAACTTCGTTAAAACACGTTTAAATTGAAAAATAAGCTTATTTTGTGATCACTTATATTTCTCTTCAAAAATCGATATTTTGGTCGAAAACCTTGAAGAAGCTAAAATTGCTTATAACTTCGTTAAAACACGTTTAAATTGAAAAACAAGCTTATTTTGTGATCACTTATATATCCCTTCATAAATCGATAATTTGGTCGAAAACCTTGAAGAAACTAAAATCGCTTATAACTTCATTAAAACACGTTTAAATTGAAAAATAAGCTTATTTTGTGATCACTTATATTTCCCTTCAAAAATCGATATTTTGTTCGGAAACCCTGATAAAACTAAAATCGCTTATAACTTCGTTAAAACACGTTTAAATTGAAAAATAAGCTTATTTTGTGATCACTTATATTTCCCTTCAAAAATCGATATTTTGGTCGGAAATCCTTATAAAACTAAAATCGCTCATAACTTCGTTAAAACACGTTTAAATTGAAAAATAAGCTTATTTTGTGATCACTTATATTTCCCTTCAAAAATCGATATTTTGGACGGAAATACTTATAAAACTAAAATCGCTTATAGCTTCGTTAAAACACGTTTAAATTGAAAAATAAGCTTATTTTGTGATCACTTATATTTATTTCCCTTCTAAAATCTATATTTTGGTAGGAAATCCTTATAAAACTAAAATCGCTTATAACTTCGTTAAAACACGTTTAAATTAAAAAATAACCTTATTTTGTGATCACTTATATTTCCCTTCATAAATCGATATTTTGGTCGAAAACCTTGAATAAGCTAAAATCGCTTATAACTTCGTTAAAACACGTTTAAATTTAAAAATAAGCTTATTTTGTGATCACTAATATTTCCCTTCAAAAATCGATATTTTGGTCGAAAACCTTATAAAACTAAAATAGCTTATAACTTCGTTAAAACACGTTTAAATTGGAAAATAAGCTTATTTTATGATCACTTATATTTCCCTTCAAAAATCGATATTTTGGTCGGAAATCCTGATAAAAATAAAATCACTTATGGTCGTTAAAACACGTTTAAATTGAAAAATAAGCTTATTTCGTGATCACTTATATTTCCCTTCAAAAATCGATATTTTGGTCGAAAACCTTATAAAATTAAAATAGCTTATAACTTCGTTAAAACACGTTTAAATTTAAAAATAAGCTTATTTTGTGATCACTCATATTTTACTTCAAAAATCGATATTTTGGTCGGAAATACTCATAAAACTAAAATCGCTTATAACTTCGTTAAAACACGTTTAAATTGGAAAATAAGCTTATTTTGTGATCACTTATATTTCCCTTCATAAATCGATATTTTGGTCGAAAACCTTGAAGAAACTAAAATCGCTTATAACTTCGTTAAAACACGTTTAAATTGAAAAATAAGCTTATTTTGTGATCACTTATATTTCCCTTCAAAAATCGATATTTTGGTCGAAAACCTTATAAAACTAAAATCGCTTATAACTTCGTTAAAACACGTTTAGATTTGAAAATAGGCTTATTTTGTCATCACTTATATTTCCCTTCAAAAATCGATATTTTGGTCGAAAACCTTGAAGAAGCTAAAATCGCTTATAACTTCGTTAAAACACGTTTAAATTGAAAAACAAGCTTATTTTGTGATCACTTACATATCCCTTCATAAATCGATAATTTGGTCGAAAACATTGAAGAAACTAAAATCGCTTATAACTTCATTAAAACACGTTTAAATTGAAAAATAAGCTTATTTTTGATCACTTATATTTCCCTTCATAAGTCGATAATTTGGTCGAAAACCTTGAAGAAGCTAAAATCGCTTATAACTTCGTTAAAACACCTTTAAATTGAAAAACAAGCTTATTTTGTGATCACTCATATTTTACTTCAAAAATCGATATTTTGGTCGGAAATACTCATAAAACTAAAATCGCTTATAACTTCGTTAAAACACGTTTAAATTGGAAAATAAGCTTATTTTGTGATCACTTATATTTCCCTTCATAAATCGATATTTTGGTCGAAAACCTTGAAGAAACTAAAATCGCTTATAACTTCGTTAAAACACGTTTAAATTGAAAAATAAGCTTATTTTGTGATCACTTATATTTCCCTTCAAAAATCGATATTTTGGTCGAAAACCTTGAAGAAGCTAAAATTGCTTATAACTTCGTTAAAACACGTTTAAATTGAAAAACAAGCTTATTTTGTGATCACTTATATATCCCTTCATAAATCGATAATTTGGTCGAAAACCTTGAAGAAACTAAAATCGCTTATAACTTCATTAAAACACGTTTAAATTGAAAAATAAGCTTATTTTTGATCACTTATATTTCCCTTCATAAATCGATAATTTGGTCGAAAACCTTGAAGAAGCTAAAATCGCTTATAACTTCGTTAAAACACGTTTAAATTGAAAAACAAGCTTATTTTGTGATCACTTATATTTCCCTTCATAAATCGATAAATTGGTCGAAAACCTTGAAGAAGCTTATAACTTCGTTAAAACACGTTTAAATTGAAAAATAAGCTTATTTTTGATTACTTATATTTCCCTTCATAAATCGATAATTTGGTCGAAAACCTTGAAGAAACTAAAATCGCTTATAACTTCGTTAAAATACGTTTAACTTTAAAAATAAGCTTATTTTGTGATCACTTATATTTCCCTTCAAAAATCGATATTTTGGTCGAAAATCCTTATAAAACTAAAATCGCTTATAACTTCGTTAAAACACGTTTAAATTGAAAAATAAGCTTATTTTGTGATCACTTATATTTCCCTTCATAAATCGATAATTTGGTCGAAAACCTTGAAGAAGCTAAAATCGCTTATAACTTCGTAAAAACACGTTTAAATTGAAAAATAAGCTTATTTTTGATCACTTATATTTCCCTTCATAAATCGATAATTTGGTCGAAAACCTTGAAGAAGCTAAAATCGCTTATAACTTCGTTAAAACACGTTTAAATTGAAAAACAAGCTTA